TGGGAAGCCGCGCGGGCCTGAGCTCCCGGCTTGGGGCAGGCCTCGGGGGCACCGCGTTGCCCTGCCAGGCGTCGCCCCAGTTGCTAACAACAAACCACCCGGGTCGCCTCCGAAGCGCCGGTCGAACGCCGGGGCAGGGGCCGCCCTCACCGGGCTAGTCGGTGTGCTCCCGGCCGCCGCGCGGGGGCGAGCGAGCCAGCGCCGTTTCCCTCCTCCCTCTTCCAGCCTCCTCCCTGATCCTCCTGCCCCGCCTCCCAGCTCTCCCATCCCGGGTCTGGCTCAGCCGCCTCCATTTTCCAGATCTTTCTCGAACCGTAGCTCCTCGGGAAGCCGTTGCCCGAGCGCTGACGGAAGCGGCCGAAGCGGAGGCTGGCTCAGCCTCGGGCGCAGAGCCGCGGCCCGCGCGCCTCCCCGGCTGCGGNGGAGCGCGCAGACTCAGAGCTCAGTAACCGCCGGTTGGAGGCGGCCGAACCGCAGTGTAGTGACCCAGGCGGCGGCGGCGGCGGCGGCGCGGCGGCCTCTACCTCCGCGGTTGTGCGGCGCGCTGCCCTAGATTTAAAGCGTAGCGACTTCGGGTCACCTCTCCTTTGCTTCTCGTAGGAGTCGCACTCCCAGCAGCAGCAGCTCAGAAGAGGGCCCAGTCCCCGCACAGGAGGCTTCGGCGCCAGCGCCCCGACCATTGGGCGGCGGGATGTCTGTGGTTGGCATTGACCTCGGCTTTCTCAACTGCTACATCGCTGTAGCGAGGAGCGGCGGCATCGAGACCATCGCCAATGAATACAGCGACAGGTGTACCCCGTAAGTGCCGTGCCCTGGTCTAGCCACGGCCCTAACGTTAGGTCCCGCCCGATGGCTCCTCGGGATGCGCGCCAGACCCTGGGATGACAGGTGCAGCCCCGCAGCTGCTATCTCGGGGGCCCGCTGCTCGGCGGGCCCAGGTGGCCGCGGGACTGCCCTCTCCGCAGAGCTGGTTTTCCGGAAAACACCAGGGACTTAACTCCTACAGTTTGCGCATCTCTCCTTTCTGTACCCGCTCCCCCCGCCTCGTTCCCCGGCGGCCCTGCTTTATTTTCCGGCAAGGGGCTGGGGTGGGACCTCCTCGACGCCCCGAACATTGGAGAAAGATCTCGAGTTTCTTCTAGTGGGGCTTTCGGGAAATTCTCGGCTGC